TGAGTAGTCTCGTGTTCACAGCTTTGTGGATTGTGTGGCTATTGTCAAATGCCACTACAACCTAATCGACAGACAAAGGTCAGACCAACTCCTTAATAACATCGACGTGGAACACTGTTCTGCGACAGACATGTTGAGAAGAATGAGAGAGGTTATCGGACAAGGGACCTTCGATGATGGCCTATTCAAACAACTTTTCTTATCCGAACTTCCTCAACAGGTGCGAGTGGTTCTGGTCTTGTTTCAAAACAACGCCTTAGACGAGCTCGCTGCATCTGCCGACCGCGTCTTAGAAATCACCAAATCTAATGCTGAGGTATTTTCAGTCAAAGAAAAACCTCAACCGACCCAGAATGACGTAACAGAGTTATGTCATACACTTACACGTTACCTTAGCTTTTGTAACGACCGTAAACGGTCACACACCCCACGAAGAAGCACTTCACGTAAGCTATCTGTCTCTAGACCACGGGAGACTGATAACCCAGACTGGCTCTGGTATCATCATCAGTATTGAAAGTCCTCCAGAAATCGCAGAAAACCCTGCAACTTTCCCAACTCAAAATCAACCGACACGAAAAACAACTCGGGAAACTTCCAAGCCGGCACGCGTTAACGGTAACCGTAGCCGGCGAACATAGCCGTCTGTTATACGTTGAAGTTCGCTACCTTGTCGACACTAGCTCAGAAGTTGGCGTTCCCTCAGCGAATTCTAACGACCGGTTTTAAACGTACAGGCGCAAACGGGAAGCCAATCGCCACATATGGCAAAAGGTACGTTTACCTTAACGTGGATTTACGCAAACCCATTCACTGAATCTTCGTTGTTGCAGGTGTTTCCATGCCAATCATTGGTATGGACCTCCTACAGCACCACAATTTAATCATCGATACGTGAAAACGGAGGCTAGTAGACGGAAACACTAATTTATCTGTTTGCGTAACTTCTTTTTCTAGTTGCAGATTATCCCCAGTCACAATTAAGCGCACGATAGATCTTTCCTATCAACCACTACTCGATAAGTATTCTGGGATTTACCAGTCGTAACCAAACTTACCGTGCGTAACCAGCAATGTTGCACATCACATCACGAATACAGGACCACCTGTATTCTTGAAAGCACGCCGACTGGCTCCCAAAAAGCTAAGGTTGGCCAAAAACGAATTCGACCACATGATAGACTTAGGAATCATTCGACCGGCAAATAGCCCATGGGCATCTCCGTCGCACATTGTCTCTAAAAAGAACAGCAACGATTGGCGTCCAACTGATGACTATCAGTGGTTGAATACAAAATCCATTCCCGAGCGTTATCCATTGCCTCACATTCACGATTTGACAGCTACTTTGAAAGGTACAACAGTTTGTTCGAAAATCGAATTGGTTAAAGCGTATAATCAAATCCCTATGGCTCCTGACGACATTTCGAAGACCGCTATCATAACTCCCTTCGGACTTTACGGGTTTTCGCGAATGCCCTTCGGTCTAAGAAACGCTGCACAAACCTTCCAAAGGTTAAAAGACGACGTCCTTCGAGGTTTCAACTTCGTACATGCCTATATTGACCACTGTCTAATAGCAAACCGGACAGATAATCACATTTCAAGTATCTGGATTTTGTTTTCAACCGACTACAAAAACATGGCATTACTGTAAGCATTCAGAAATGCCAAATCGGAACGGACTCATTAGACTTTCTAGGGCACACTATAAATGCTCAAGGCATTCGACCCCTTAGGACCAAAGTGGCGGCCATTCTGGATTATCAAGAACTGAACGTCATCAAGCAATAACGCGCGTTTAACGGCCTTGTAAGTTTCTATAGACGATTCTTACAGAAATGCGCGTTACTTATGAAACCGCTAATGGACCAACTTCGTGGAAATGCCAAATCCATCAAGCTGGACGACATCGCGCGAAAGGCATTCTCCACAGTTAAGGAACTTATCGCTCAAGCAACAATACTTGCTAATCAGGACACTGAAGCACTCACTAGTATCTCAGAAGACTCATCCGACTCAGCAATCGGAGGAGTCTTAAAACAATGGGTTAACTTCTCCTGGCAACCTCTGGCATTTTTATCTAGACGGTTGCTAGACACCGAATCCAGGTATAGCACTCTCGGTAGGGAACTCCTAGCTATGTATAGTGCTATACGTCATTCTCAACACTTTATCGAAGGCCGAGGATTCACCATTTTCACTGATCATAAACCTCTTACCTTCTCTTTAAGCTCATCTTCAGACAAGTACTCACCATGTGATTCCCGACAACTAGACTACGTTTCAAAGTTTACTTCAGATACTCAACACATTTCTGGAGCAAACAATGAAGTCGCAGACGCCTTGTCTCGAATAACTTCCTTAAACAGTTTCCAAGTAATCGATTTTCTTAAACTCGCCCAGTTGCTTGAAGAAGACACTGATCTTCAGTACGAGTTATCATCAACAACCCTCAAGCTGCGCATTAAACAGATGGAAACAGGTAAGGAAACCTTACTTTGTGACACATCTACAGGTAGGGATCTCCCAATTGTGCCGAAACATCACCGGCACAACGTCTTCAATACGTTGCACAAAATTCCTCATCAAGGTGTTCGTGCAACCGTCAAGCTTATAACAGAACGGCTTTGCTAACCTGGTATGAATAAAGATGTGAGAGAGTGGGCATGTTCCTGCGTAAGCTGCCAGAAATCTAAGGTTACTAGACACAACAAATGTCCCTTAGGTTCGTCTAAAACTCCCGATGCTCAACTCGACCATGTTTATCTGGATTTGGTAGGACCTTTACCAGATTCAAATGGATGCTCTTACCTCTTAACCTGCGTAGACCGTCTCACTCGATGACTAGAAGCAGTACTTATCAAGGACATCACTGCTGAAACAGTGGCTCGCGTCTTCGTCGAACGATGGGTAGCAAACTTCGGCTACCCTTCAACTATCACTACAAATCGCGGACGCCAGTTCGAATCTGAACTTTTTCGTCGTCTGACCACACTATTGGGAATCACTCGTTCCCGAACGACTGCCTACCACCCACAAGCAAACGGGTTGGTAGAGTGCTTTCATTGACAACTAAAAGCTTCACCATCAACTGCAAACATTTCTCAGTGGACTGACGCTCTTCCACTCGTCTTACTGAGTATTCGCAATGCAGGGAAGGCTGACATTGGATACACTGCAGCTCAACTCGTTTATGGAACGACACATAAAATTCCAGGAGAATTTGTAGGTCCTTCGTCTTCTTCAATGAACGTGGGTGTGACTTTCCACAAGAGCAGTCTTACAAACGTGATGCGTTCAGTTAAACCTGTTTCCACTAGACCGCAACCAACGGATGTTTTTGTTCAACCTGACTTACGATATAGTACACACGTCTTCGTACGTCGAGACTCATATCGACGACCGCTCAAATCAGCATACGAAGGACCCTTCGAAGTTCTTCAATGCGAACCTAAGTACTACACAGTCGATGAGAACGGAACTAACGATAGCATCAGCATCGACCGCATCAAATCAGTGTATCTAGAAGGAAACACTATCCATGTCGATACAACCGAAAGACACGACTATTACACTCATGATACCTCGACTGACAGCCAACACACACGTTGATACTTCGACAGTATTTAAAAATAAACTTAAAACGACGCATTTTGGAAGAAGAGTAAGATTCCCAGAACATTTGAACGACTATTGCACGTAAGACATCAGTTAGCGCTTCGCCTTGTCTCGATTTTCCATGACATTTTATATGATATAAAACAGCCAATTTTTATATGCTTATATATATATATATTTATTGTTTTGCTAATATATTTGTATTACAATTTTTTAAAAGACACCATTTCCTTAAAGTCGCTTTTACACTATCGCATGCACATGATTTTATTTTCGTTTTTTGCCCACTTTGTATGTTAACGCGCGCACGAGTTCATTTCGACATGCACTTACGTATTCTTTTTTTTTACAGGACGGACGGAAATGACGATAAAAAGTACGATGAGGTTTCCGAGGAACCAAAATTTTCATTGTAAATGATTTTTTTCACTATATTGTAATTCATGGTCCATTATAGTAAGGAAAGACGACCAGATGCTGCTAAATCTAGCAAACTATCAGAAGAGTGTTTACCAACGACAAACTCGTTGGGTTTGAACTTCTGGCTGGCCACGTCTTCGGGTCGTCACTACCCCACTATGAGGGGAGTGATCTGTAGTGGTAAATAAATCTCCAAAATAAATAGCTGACCACAATAGTTTTAATGGACTCACCTAGCTGAAGGCGCCCGTTCACGCATCCGCACCAGATCACGGGTGGGAACGCCGTGCTCAACATCTCCTGCAATCGCTAGCCAGATTAGATCAGAAGATCCTCGATATATTGATAGCCTATCAAATATGTCTTCAAACCTCCTCGCTTCTGTCTTTTGATTTCACCTGGTGGGTACGCTTTATATTAGATGTTACTGGTTAAAGCGTTGTCAAACTCCAAATACCTGTGATATCTTCAGCGTAATGGTAGGTCCACTCTTAATGAATGAAAATGGAGCTATCTCAAAGCTTCAGTTAAAGTCGCATCATTCAACTGACATGTAATCTAAATTCCCCTGTCATGATTGTTAAGGTGTGTTGGTATTTCGGGATTCACACAAGACAGGCGGAACCTTACTACATCAAAGGTTTATTATGAAACGAAAGGAATAGAGACACACAGTAGGAAAAAACAAACGTGTGAATAACTTTTGTAGATCTTTAAGCGTCTCTCATTCTCGGCGAAACTCGCGTTAAGGCCTAAAATCCACTGAACAATCCTATAAAGTTGAAACGTTTCAGCTCGATGTGCGATTTTACTAAAAACTCATGGATAATTTACTGGTCAAACAGTGATAAGAGCTAATTAAATCAACGTTTCGGAAATTTTATGCTTTTAAGCTGTGCTTTATCAAAACCCTCATTGTTGTCACTAGTACTTTCTGCTTGTTTTAAATCATACTTGTTGGACTTAGTAAGCGCGCTTTTCCAGTCTCATCGTTTCTCTAGTGATTGCGCGTCGGAGGTTTGACGGAAACGATTCTAGGGATTTAGTCCGAGTACATAGCTCCGACCATTTTAATGGTTATCTGGTAGTGGAGTATAATGACAGATTTCAGTGATAATTGTCTATCTGGTAGTTCATAGTTTCTATACTCGAAAATACTAGGCTTGAGTGACGAAGAAGTCAGTCTTAATCTAAAGAATCGCTTGTCAAATCATAACAGTACAGGAAAGAATATGAGCTCGTTTAACAGGATGTCTGGTAACCATAAGCAAGGCGGTGCTCTTCAGCAGTTATCAAGTCTTCTTGGGCAAACTATGAGACTAGAAAATGTGGCTGACTTGAAAGGTAAGAGCTGTTATATTCAGTTTAAATTCTATTTTTGATGTATATAGTTAGTAATTTTGGCCACGAAACAATACGTACATTTTACTTTTCATTTGTGCCTTCAGTAGTAGACTTTTAACACGGTTAATATATATTCGTCAAAGCTAGTATGTTATATATTCGTAATCTTAAAATACTAGTTAGGTGATTGTCTTTTTGACTCAGTCATCTTAGAGTCACTATCTAATCTCAGTGATGTTGGTTCATAATGCCAAAAAATGTACATTATTCACGTCTATATTAGTGCTTTATACAACAAACGTTCGAAATGAAAACTATACAGAGAGTCGTCCCAGCCCGTTTATTCTGTAGGGAACTTCAACACTTCGAAACATCGAGTGATTTATACTAACTTGTGTTTCGGTGATTAAATGTTCAATTACTTGCACTTTGCACATCCAAACCAGTCGTTTCATATGGTACAGGATAACCAGATATAACTTCGGCTCCTTTTAGGAGTATCCACTCAACGAACGATACTTAACCAGGAAGTACTGCAGATCGTTAGGCAGGGTAGGTAGTTCATAAAAATCCAGTTGCAAATCAGGCATGTATAAGGAACAAACCTCTTGGTTATGCAATTTTCTTCCAAAGCACTTATAATTAATCAGTTATATGTTGACAAAATCCAGCCATTGTCTAAAGCAAGAATGTTCTGTTATTACCGTAGCTCAGTGGGCAATGCGAAGCTTCAATATATGTGCTTAGTTGTGACACCACAATTAGTATTTTGGCTTAGAAATCACGTGTTATGTGAGTTTATGTAGTATTCCAATAGCAGTAATGTTGAAGTATATACTTCCAAAATACATCACCGACTTTAATAACCTATTTGTTTAACTGGTCATTTCACCTGCGTATCGTAAATAGTAAGTGTAAGTGCTCTTAAAACAACAGATTTATCGATACCTAGTATGCGATATCTTGATTCGTTTGTTCAGAAAGTAAAGTGTGAGTGCCGTTCAGGTTTTTATTTTGTTAAGTGGTTAAAGGCGAGTAAAATGTAACATATTACTATTCGTTATTTATACCCAAGGGGCAAATCCGTACGAGTTCTGTCGACACGAACCATCTGAATAATTTTCGCTGCAGGTGTGTTTGATGATCTAGGTAACTAATCTGATCAGGTAAGTACACTACTCATATCTAGCTGTATGAAAGTCAAGTACTTAAACAAGGTATTCTAAGTGTTGAATAAATTAGGGTTCATGTGTACTAATTTTCTTGCAGTTTGGAAGTCTCAAGTCTTGTTAATGTTCCTAACAGGCTTTTAATACGTTGAAATCTGGAACTACTTTTATACTAGCGGGCTGTGATAGCATGAATCGTGTTAGGTTATAAATGAACAGTGGTTTTTAGTGAATAAACCACTATAAAGCAGTATCTCTATTTTCTCTGTTATAGCAACTCAAGATGTAAACTGTCAAAAGTTTATTCCCTTTTTTAAAACCTTGGGATATAGTGAGTCTAACCTTATTATCAAACTATATTTGCCCATAGTTGCGGAATTCTAGTGGGGTATTCTTTGTGACCATAACTAGTTTACATAGTTTTGTGCGTAAATGCAACAATCCAGTCTCTGCCTACCGTCTGATTGGTGTAGGGTAACTGTCTACGTTTTCATTACTATTCATTACAATGTCCGTGGCCTGAGGTCCTGCCCGGCCATTCAAACCTGATTATTATGCTTCATTAATATTTCCACATTATTTTTATTGAGTGAAACGAGATTTAAATAAAAAGTAAATATATTTTTAGATTCCTAATCTCATTTGTAAGAAACAAAAATGAAATTTTGATAAGATAGAGCCTAATGTCTATTTATCTTTTTATTCAATATATACCTGTCTTCCAGAGGTACTCAAATCAGTTGGTACTGGTTATCAGCGTAAGTGACTATTTCTTTGTTGTTCTGTTCTGTTGTATTTTTGGGGCTCACATACACTGATTCGTTTCATCACTTAGTAGTATTTATAAAATAGTTTTTTTGCCAATTTTATTTTCAATTATTAACTATGCATATTAGGTGGCCTCCCAACAATACCAATAAATGATCTTCGTGGTGAAGAAGCTGCTGCTTATCCTCGGGAGGATTGCGTGTTGAGACGTAGTTTGGCTGCTCTGTATCGTTTGATTGATATGAGAGGATGGACGCATTCAATTTATAACCATATATCTGTAAGTAACTGATACAATGTTTTATCTTCTGAATGGTACCGAAGGCTATTTTCTAAACAAACTGGTATGTGACGAAATCAGCATTAAGTGTATAGTTAGTACAATTTATAATAGATAGAATATGAACCGTCAGTATTACGATTTGTAGCTTTTTGATGTAAGTTGATAAGCAGTTTGGATTTTAGTGTTTGTGTCTAGTTGCATAGTCTTCAAACCTAAGTGAACCACTTTATCATTTGTCACGGTATTTGGTCAGTCGTAATTGTGATTGTAAATCATCTGTTTCATGTGCTACAATTTAACGTGGTTTGTAATTCGTTTGTCCATTATCTGCCTTTACTATGGTGTGCTCATGTGACAACATTAATTAAACAGTATTCTATTTTACTATACTTCGTGTTACTGGGCACCAAAAACAGAATGGTCTATTTAAAATATAGATATATTATGGAGAAGAAACAACAGAGAAAGAGATGTATACTTGCAGAAAACGAGAAATGGCTAAGGATCGTATAACATAGATGCAGTTTGACTGACAATAAAATGGAGAAATACTTTTTTCAATTGAAAAGATTTAATTCTTATTCAGAGTATAAAAGGAAACGACAAGCTCTCCATTGGCTTCTATCGTGAACCATATCTAATCACATCTGAAGCCATTGAATTGCACCATCTCTTTTACTCCGATCAGGATGTCGTTATGGACCGATAGGTGCCAGTCCTTTACAGCTATTTTTTCTCGAAGGTGAAGTTGAGTTAATGGGTTATTTCCCTTTATGAAATTGTCAATGGTGATGGTATAAGGGCTATAACTAAGTTATTTAGATATTCTTTCCAAGTACAATGTATCCTGAATGCTAGTTGTTTATTAAAGCTTATTAATACTGGTTTTATTTTGTTTCTAGGCAAGGTGCACTACAAATCCCAATCATTTCTTAATTAACCCTTTCGGGTTACTCTATCATGAAATTCAAGCCTCTAGTTTAGTAAAAATAGATGCAAACGGTGAGTACTTCCATGTAAATTTCACTATTGTATATCTAGTGACAGACGACTAGCTTCTTACGTTCAGACAAGGCTCTAAGGTGGCTTAATGCAACCACTTTTATTGTTTGGGCTTGCGAAGTAAACGATTCACCTAGATCATATTGAGATCTTTTTCAGTACCCACGGATTTCTCTGTAACACTAGGTCGATTTTATCTAAATTCCTTTTTGAATGCGACCGCTCATTCGTTTACACTAAGTTGCCGACTCGACATACATGGGCTTTACTGAGGTCATTTAGTTGGTGATGAAATTCATCTTTTATTGCATCCAGGCTACAATTCGTCAGGTGTAAGCGACTACAAAACTATGGTTTATGGTGCCAGTTTTTTCTCAGTCTGATAGGCCCCTCTAATCTTACGGTACATAAATAACTGATAGTGGGGATCCAATTGATTTGTGTTGCTCTTGCTGCGGCACTTAGTTCAACAGCAATAACAGTAGAGACAAATGACGATGCATTAAGGTCTCCAGATAAGGATACGTGGAACAAAGTCGTTGGATAGGCACATGCAGAAAGTATTTGGGGTGAATAAAGAAAAATGAACGATATGATGTTTACTTTCTCATGGTTAAATTATCTTAAGGGAAAAACATGATTTACGATCATTCTCGTTTTACTCTCTTAAAAATTAATAAAATATTCTTTTGTCTTGACCAGTCCTTTTTTACTGCGTACGTTGTTGCGCAACGATCGTTGTTAAATTCCATTTGTTTAGGTCCGTAATTGTTGCGCTTGATCTGTAATGATCACGCTAAATTTTGGACCGATTAGTTCTTTAACGTAATATTACATTTAAAATGTGTTGACGGCTCGCTTCCGTGCAAATGTGAAAGTTTCGCAATAGATTCTATAATGTAAATAAGCTATTAGATAAAATGCATTTTTCAGACACATCCTATTCGTCGTAAAAGTGTATAATGTTCATTTTGTACTGTTTCTAAAATATTATGGGAAATGAATATAAATCACTGACTGATTTTTATCGATAATATGGTCATGTGTATTAGGGTAATCTTGGTTTCACGAGTCTGACTTAATTACTGTAAACCCGACTGTTATGTCTTTTCTTTTTTGCTCTGACTATAATCGTTTACCGATTATCCTATCTACTTTGGGCGAATTCTTCGCTTTTTAATTTCACAGTTTCTAGTTACTTGGCGTTACTTTTTGTATTTTCAACCATAATAATGCTACATAGATTTTCACTCAACTATAAGTAAAAACGAGTTTTTTGATTGAGATCATGAACTGATTGATGTTAGACCATCATTGAAAACCTGGAAGCATTGGATGGTCGTTTCGTTCTGTTGTGGGACCACTCAACAGTGCGCATCCACGATTCCGCTCATGGGATTCGGACCCAGGGCCTTCAGTCTCTCGCACGAACGCTTAACCTCTAGACCACTGAGTTGGCATCCAGCGGTGTTGTTGTCTAACATCAACCAATCCACGAAATTGCGCGACCATCTTCCACTGTACTGAGGTAGATACCTGTCTCTACTCGACATGGCGTCTCACAATAGGACAAAACGGCCGTTCAGTGATTCCAGGGTTTCAATGGTGGTCTAACATCTATCAGTTCATGACCTCAATCAAAAACTTAATCTCCACAACCCTATACTGATTAAAATGAATTCACAAATATTTGTGGAAAAAGGCTTGCTATTTGTGTTTCCATAGACAACTGTTTCATCAGTTGGCCAGGATTGCATCACTTACAGCCCCGTTGTAAAAGGAAATCGGACTTTTATTTTAATTTTGATAATCTTTTAACGCTTGAAGTTCTTGATATTCTTAGTTTGAAATTAATTCGAGTATTTCGATACATTCGTAAACGACCTACTTGGGAACTCATAGTTTTAGCTCATTTATACACTAATGTTAATTCCATAATCCGTCATTTCTAATGCTGTTACGCATATATATGCATACGAAACGCCTTAATATATCACTACAGCTTCATCTGCCTCTGTTTATTGAGTTTGGATAAATATCTTAACAATAAGATAGATTTTGAAGTATTAGTTTTCTACCAGAATAGCTTTTATCCTCATTTTTAAATGTGCTTTACTAATATTAACTCCTCAAAGTGCTTATGATAAGATGATTTTACTTTGTGTATATTTGTTTAGGGCGAATTACTTACTTTTTGCTAGTTTTTCATCAAAGACTATCCCATGTGTTTTTCCACTAATTATTCATCCGTGTAGTTTTGTTTTTCATCGCTCGAACTTTCGTTGTTGTGAACTTTAACTTCCGCCTTGGTGTGTTTTTGCTCTCTGACTATCATCCCATAGTTATAATATATATGTTTTTATTTCAAAATATTTATTTGGATCAATCTATGTCTCGTGTTTTTTATTTATTCTAGGTAATATAGTTGATCAAGGTAGCTCAGTGTTAGGTGTAAATAAGGCTGGTTGGACTCTTCATTCTGCACTACACTCAGCTCGTAAAGATATTAATTGCATTATTCACGTTCATTTGGCTGATGTAATAGCGGTGAGTTGTCTGAATTTGTATAGTATTTTGTTTTGACTTAAAGTGAAAAAAATATTCTTAATTTTAAGTTAAAGGTTTCATCGAGGATTGCTAAGGACTATTACGTCATGTAGTTCAGTCAAATAATTCCTATGATGGAAATAGTGGATTAACACGAATATTATATAATTTACTACAGTTTTATAACTCAGTGTTCACGATTCACAATGACACATCGATGAAAAATCAAAAGAGAAGTACAAGTTATATAGATTATAATGTTCCTGGTTGCATTTATGAACTTAATGAGACAACACATTTCAAACCACATTACCGTGAAGCTTAAAATCCTTTATTTACCTTCAAACAAAAGTCCGAAAATCCACTCAGTCAGCTACAACGTAGGATCAGACAAATATACTCATCGCTTCAAGTTGCCATACCTCATTAACACAAGATGAACACCAAATTCATGGAAGCCGTTACTTCGATGGTATTAATATATAAAAGAAAGATTGCATATAAGGCTATGATACAAGAAGAGAGAATTAGTTCGTAGAAAAAAGTTATAATCTCACGGTCTAAAGGGAAGACAATGAGTGTATACACCTACGTCATTGTTTTCGATTCTGAGCCATGTCATCCAGTTTCCAACCACTGGTAACGATAGTCACGCCGACCCCAACCGAGTAGTCTGCATCCCCCAACATGACTCAGACCCGAAGTTAGTGACTTCAAGGACTGATGCCATGTTTTGGTTTGGTCGACCTTACCTTCTTCCAACCGTCTCTAACACTAGTCAGCATTGTACGTCGTGGTAATCGGTGTTCAGGCATACGTAACACGGCCCACCCATCTCAGTCGATGAAGAATCACAATCTCAACAACTGACTTACCATCATTCTATAATACCCTACGTCTAACTTCACTATTACTTACCCGATGATCCCAGCAGATGCGAGCAATATTTCTAAGGCATCTGTGGCCAAATACTAGTAGCTTACAAATATCTTCTACTTTTAGTGGCCACGCTGCGCGGCCGTAAAGTAAAACAAAACTGGCTGAGCTAGGCGGAAAGCAGGACCAATCAAGACTCTAGACTGTTCGCACTTGTTTTACGCATCATTGGTCCGATCGATAAGTCACTGCCCTCTAATCGGCGGTCACAAGTTATAACAACTTGATAGCTTTTAACTCCTCGCTCATCCTCCCACTCGTGGTAGCGTAACGTGTAGATTCAATTAAGTAACTGATAGTCTAATTCCATAACTTCATGTGTTAATTTGCTCTCATAACCTAATGCTACGTTTATAATCAATTTCGTTTATTCCTTTGCTTCAGTATACACCATGTCTTTAATGTATTTGTGTTGACAAATGTATCACCATGTTCAAGCTCTTCATTTTCTATTGTTAGGCTACATTTTGTATCCATTGGATGAAAAATGAACCCCACATTTTAAGATCTTTCTTCATACTCTTTCGAATTAGCATTTTTGTCAGGGTTTATGGTTGTGTTATAACTCTGTTTTCTTACGGTTAATGACCCAGCTATTCCTATGGCTTAGTATTCTCGGACACCGATTCACTCGACAAGTCCCCAAATCAGAACACGGTTGAACAGGAAAAAGATTATATTCCAAATAGCAAGTCAGAAGCCAGTAGGAAGCACAATAGGGGAAAACGTTGGTATATTTATAGTTTTTACATAAGAAGAATCCAGAATATTCTCCAACTATCGACTAGCGCTGATTGGATAAGAATTAGCCAATCAGCGTGCACCAAAGCAATCATGCATTGAGCATGCTTTAGTCTAGTCTATGTCCCGCTAACACCTCCCCTCTGAGCAGATTCGTAGGATCTGGTGCTAGGGTCCAACTGCAACTGAGTGACTGGCTTGTGCTTTTGATTAGTCCATCGTCTAGGCAATGAAGAATTATCACTTTTTCCTTGCACAGAGACTGACATGTCTGTTCCCGGCGTTTTGATTTTTCTTAAAAAAAAAGTATGCATAACTTTTAATTCTCCAACATTCTCCTCCTCCTCGAAATAATGTTGGGTTTTTATGGCTCCAAATTATAACTAGTAGGACTTTATTTAAACCATGTTTCTCGTATTGACTGGAGAATCCACTAAAAATGACTAGATGATGATGAACGACCTTTGATTTGAGGTCAAAGTTTAATTCTTCTGAAGCATTACTTTCAAATCCATTAGGAATTTCATCAGTGGATAATGGATCATTACGGAAATCATCATCCAACAAAATTAAATTAGACTTTTGACCATAATTTGACTCAGCTGATATATTTTCCTGATTTTTATGAGAAATTTCATCAAAATAACATGCATTGTTCTGAGAACCCATGTCTGATACATTGTCATTAGAAATCGGATAAGCTGATTCAATATAAGTTTCTGTCTCACAATGATTTTGAGTAACATTCGGTATAATTGGGTTCGTTGTGTCACTGCAGTTATTTTTTGAATACGAGTCCCCATAGCTTTCTTGGTTAATATCACGTGGACCATAAATTTGTTCTAGCTGAAAGTTATTTTCAGAGCTAGACAGGACCAGTAGTGCTTCATTCAATTCTGAACTCCGGGCTTCATCTACAGGGTCTGACTCTTGATAATCTCGTATTGCCACAACTTTATGAGCATTCAGCACAGGATTTTCTTGCTGTGAGCCGGAAACGTTACAAATATTACGTTCTGATTCAGGTATAAAGGGATTTGAACCCTCCACTAGATATGCTTCTGAAATGTCTGTTACTGCATCGTAAACAGATTTCTTATTTTCTGGTCGAGTGAAAAGTGTGCTCAATAGTTGTTGTTGCAAGGCTAACAACTTCTGCTGGTGCTGTAATATTAACCGCAACTGTTCTAAAGAAATCGCCATTTTTCTTTAGTTTTTCCCCGTCGCCACTGTTATAGCTTTGTTTTCTTACGGTTAATGACCCAGCTATTCCTATTGCTTAGTATTCTCGGACACCGATTCACTCGACAAGTCCCCAAATCAGAACACGGTTGAACAGGAAAAAGATTATATTCCAAATAGCAAGTCAGAAGCCAGTAGGAAGCACAATAGGGGAAAACGTCGGTATATTTATAGTTTTTACATAAGAAGAATCCAGAATATTCTCCAACTATCGACTAGCGCTGATTGGATAAGAATTAGCCAATCAGCGTGCACCAAAGCAATCATGCATTGAGCATGCTTTAGTCTAGTCTATGTCCCGCTAACAGGTTGAAAATTCTCTGCAGTTTCTTTTTTGGATCTGTGAGGTGATCGGTAGTGGTAATTGACTACAATCTAAACACATCTATGACAATGTTAGATGGAAATAAAGGTCATCAGATGGGACTAATAAGCACGATTGCTCACTATAAGTTATTACATGTCCATAAACATATTCTTTATGTGGCATACTAAAATGTTACCCTGTATCAGACATTGCCTCCAACAATCGTTATACTTATACCCCAGACGTGGTCTGTGCATCTTTTTGTCTTTTCCAACTCCTCGCTGACACTAATTGATAATCGTATAGACCTTTTGAGCTGTCAACTGGGTTAGGGGTCAGACAACATCTTGTGTTCGAGGTCAGTATTTGATTTGTAATAATACTGTCAGTTATGCTTAACGATGCTAAAAATTAATGAAAGCAATACTGAAAATGGCGATTGTTTATTTGTAACAGATGAAGGTTAACGGAAAGTGACAAGAGTAGAGGTGTCTAGTCGTCTCGTTGTCCTCTTTTCCCTTCAATCGGGAAGTGTGATTTTTGATTTGACTGCTCCCACTTTTTTCCAACCTACTCCTATACCAGCGTACACCATTCGCCGAGGTAAGCGGCAGTTGACCACATGTATATTCTTCAACTACCTCAGTGGATGAAAATTCGCTACCTCATTAATCGATTTGCCACTACCTAATTACTTACTTATTTACGCCTGTTACTCCTAATGGAGCATAGGCCGCCGACCAACATTCTCCAACCCACTCTGTCCTGGGCCTTCTTTTCTAGTTCCATCCATTTCTTGTTCATTTCTCTCATGTCTATTTCCATTTCCCGGCGTAATGTATTCTTTGGTCTCCCTCTTCTTCTTTGGCCTTCAGGATTCCATGTGAGGGCTTGTCTTGTGACGCAGTTGGGTGCTTTTCTCAATGTGTGTCCTATCCACTTCCAGCGCTTCTTCTTCCTGATTTCTTCCTCTGTTGGGATCTGGTTTGTTCTTTCCCACAGTAGGTTGTTGCTAATAGTGTCTGGCCAACGGATCCGAAGTATTTTGCGTAGACAACTGTTAATAAACACCTGTATCTTCTGAATGATGGCTTTCGTAGTTCTCCAAGTTTCTGCCCCATACAGTAGAACTGTCTTGACATTTGTATTGAAAATCCTGACCTTTGTGTTGATTGATAGTTGCTTTGAGTTCCAGATGTTCTTCAGTCGTAAATATGCTGCTCTTGCTTTGCCAATCCACTCCTTCACATCTGCATCAGATCCACCCTGTTCATCAATGATGCTGCCCAAATATGTAAAGGTTTTTACATCTTCCAAATCGTCTCCATCAATTGTGATTGGATTGGTGCATTCTGCGTTGTATCGGAGAATCTTGCTTTTCCCTTTGTGTATATTGAGACCTACTGCTGCTGAGGCTGATGCTACACTGTTCGTCTTCTCCTGCATCTGTTGTTGCGTTTGGGATAGAAGGGCCAGATCATCTGCGGTGTCTAGATCGTCTAACTGCATCCTAGATGTCCATTGTATCCCGTGCTTCCCTTCAGACGTTGACGTCTTCATGATCCAGTCGATCAGCAGGAGAAAGAGAAAGGGTGAGAGTAAGCAACCTTGCCTAACACCGGTCTTCACTTCGAACGAGTTTGTCAACTGTCCTCCATGCACGATTTTGCAGTTTGATCCATCATAGGAATTCTGTATGATATTGACTATCTTCTGAGGCACGCCGTAGTGTCGAAGAAGTCTCCATAGTGTTGTTCTGTCCATGCTGTCAAATGCCTTTTCTTAGTCAATGAAGTTGAGGTAGAGTGATGAATTCCATTCAATTGATTGTTCCACAATGATCCGTAGAGTTGCGATTTGGTCTGTACACGATCTATCCTTACGGAATCCTGCCTGTTGGTCACGAAGTTGGGCGTCTACGGAGTCCTTCATCCTGTTTAACAATACCCTGTTGAAGACTTTTCCCGGTATTGAGAGAAGAGTGATGCCCCTGTAGTTATCACACTTGCTGAGATCGCCTTTCTTTGGTATTTTGATCAGGAATCCTTATTTCCAGTTTGTTGGTCCTTGTTCCTCATTAATCTATTTGCCACTACCTAATACTCTGCGTCTAACCTCAGCAATGCTCACTTTTGGGTCTCAGCATACACGGACAATTTTTCTAAGGGATCTCTAATCATATACTAGCGACCTACGAATATCTTCTGTGTTGAATGGTCAATTGTAGTTGACTAGCTAATTCATAAAGTGGCACAGTAATCCATTGATATAAACTCGACATATTTCCTTGGCCATTATTTAATTCTTGCTGACTGATCATGGTCATTTACTTTAATTTATATATAAAGTATATTAGGACGGTGAAAAAATCAATTCTTTTGAAGTGACGGTAAGTAACAGTTCAGGTATGTATGCGGTAAGTTTCTCTTATAGATTTAAAATGCTGCTTCTGGATTGATCTGGATCGCTACCTAGTTTATACATTGAAAATAAAGTAGTGAAGTGCATTGATCACACTAATTTGATGAGACCACATCAGTCCTGATAGTGTGGTATCTGACAAAATATTGACACGGATAGGAAACGTTCTAGTTCTTACCAATCTGTCCACTATCTGACTTAGATTAGATGTCCGTCTTCCTAATTTTCTATTCTCCAGTTAGGTTTTTTTTCTTCCAAAACACCTTTTTGTTTTGTATATTATTTCCTATTTTATAGCTCCCGTCTGGTTAATTTCTCGTTATACAGATGTGAGGTGTGGAAGCTGGGACAGATGCGCGCTCTTCCCATATCCTACGTTGATGACTGGCTTATTAAAGAGAGTACTTATATGCCAGTTCAATTTCAGTTTTTTTAGCTTCATTTGAGTGGTTAAAATTACCGCCACGGTCAAAACAGTAGCAGTGTATTGAATCTCATATCCAAATTTTTGATACGCCAAATAATCTAACATATCAATCAGGACTGAAAATAATCTTGATAAGGAATGCGTAATCGATGATCTTGAAAATTAGTTTATTGTTGGTGGTCTCAAATCCGTTCCTGAGTCATATCCATTCGAAAAATACTTCATTAAAATCTTGAACGAACCATCTAATCAAAGTTGAAATTCATTTGAAATAGCATAGGATAATTTTCTTAAGCTGCTTTCAAAGCAAACTCGCAAGTCTGGTTACATGAATAAGCTGCATTGCTATTCGTTACACATAAGAATAAATTAACTCTGCACATCGCTTATATTTTTCGACATTTATAGAATCGCTGAAGAAAATATGAATTATTTCGCAGTTTTCTCTGAAAGTAAAGTAATACGAATGTAATCATTTTTTTGCTTCGTGTACTCATTCTGTGGTCAACGAAATGATATTAGGTTTGGTAGTGCGAATTTAGATGACAGGGCTCATTCGTTAATGTATTCTTCTAGTAGGGTTATAATTTTTAAAAAATCTCTTCTACCTTCCCTAAGAGATCGTTACCACGAATAACTGATCAATGCAGCCGTTTTAGTTATTCTAATAGTTTCGTAAATCAATGAAACATTGATAGCAAATTTTTTGACTATAGGTTTCGTGTCTTCGCGCAGGGCTCATGCCTGTCAGTCCTGAGGCCATTGAACTAGTGTCAAATCATGGAGTTCGCTATCATGAGTATCGAGGTATTCTGGTAGATGAGGCAGAACGTTCTAGCATTGTGAAAGATCTAGGCTCTAAAGCAAAGGTGTTGTTTTTACGAAATCATGGTGTGGCAGTTACTGCTTCTAGTATTCCCGAAGCATGGTATCTCGTTAAACGAGTAATAGCTGCTTGTCAAACCCAAGTAAGTCAATGTCAACTTTTTATATAAGACTATCTAACTTCTGAAATTATTTATCACAATAAGGTTGATGCATTGTAATTCTGTACGAGATTTTTCGTCAATAAGTTGTCTAGTAAATGCTCATTTATCTTTAGTCTGTGGATCATACCATTCAATACTACACTTTTCGAAAGTTCAACCAGAATTTACCAAGCTTTTAGTAATTCGAATCTATGTCATGAGTAATACGATAGGCCTAGCAGACGATGAATAGCAACAACTCAAATATAGGTTGATAAAAAGTTAACGCAATATCGTAAGCAGCAGTGAGGATAAAAGTAAAAGTAATCGAAAATGTAGCAGGTACACGTAATACGAGATAACTGTTCTGACCTATCAAGGAAACAAGTTAACTATTAGTGAAACTTTCGGAAAAAGATGGGACTCTAAATCACTGTCCAGGAGATTTGGACAATAGGCAGAACACTAATAGAAGGTTCAACTTCCTTCTCACTACTCTACAGTTACTCACTATTCCCAAAAAACTTCCGGAAGATCCAAAGGACCATGTCTAATTTGAACCGAAGTGAGATCAGCAAAATACGATAACTCCAGAGGTCTTTAAAGATGGTTCACCAGTCCTAGCAGTTACGCTGACTAAAGTTTTAGAGCTCGGTTCAGTCTCATCTGTTTAGATTCGATCTCTGTTCATCGCAGTGTATACAAAATGATTAACATCCCCCTGTGATAATCACAATGAAAGCAGTTTGTTCAACATTATGCCTAGAATACTAGTCTCTATAATTCTTCAAAACTTTACTAGTATTCATGAACAACAGATTTGGGGGAACCGAGCTGGATGTGGATGCATTAATCAGGCATTCACCCTCGTCAGGTTTTGGAGTATAAGAATACTTACCGTCTCCCGACTAAAGTTGCATTTCTTGAGCCTAGTGCGGCATTCTACCCCATTGATCAAGAAGTTCTGTAATTAAGTTCGTCATTAAAAGGTACACAACATAGTGCATAGAACTTGTGGAGGCGCTCTAATGGAACAATGTTGACTACCAATTTTGATTTATACGATTATAGTTATTTATGAAAGCGTTACCAATTTGACATCAACTTGACATCCCATTTATCTTACTTTACAGATGCGATTGATGCAACTAGGGAATATGACAAGTTTATTGTCTGATTTAAAGGACAGTGCTGTGCAGCTAACAGACGGTCAAGCTGACCAGTCAGAAGAAATAGGATCAAATGTCATAGATCAAAATAAAAATGGTCATACATCAGTGAATGGTAAAGCTGGCAGTGATAATGGAGGTAAGTTAACTATTTGGAGTGTTTCAAAATTAGCATGTCAGTATTCTTAACTTTGTTAATCAATCGAGTCTTTTCCTCATAAGATTGCCTACTTATTTGCTTGCAAATCCACCCACTACTGTCTCAATAACATTACAGCTTAGTGGTGTCTATGGATTTCTAACTGTCCCAAGCAACCTCAAGTGGTGTCCGTCAAGGCTGTCCACTTTCCCCATTTTTGTTTAACTTCATCATAGATCTACTGATGGAAATAACTTTCTCGTCGACTGAGTTCTCGGGTATTGATCTCCATCCAGGAGGTCCACTTATCGACTTAGAATACGCAGATGACATAGTCCTGTTTGGTGAAGACGCTGACAAAATGCAGAGTCTTTTGGTAGCACTAAGCAACAATGCCAGAATGTTTGGAATTCGCTTCTCTCCCTCTAAATGCAAGTTGTTGCTTCAGGACTGGTCTGCGTCAACACCTGAACTAAGGATAGGGAGTGAAGTAGTCGAACGCGCTGGCAACTTCACTTATCTTGGAAGTCTGATCAGCCCTAATGGGTTGGTGTCTGACGAAATCTCAGCACGGATTCGAAAAGCTCGCTTGGCTTTTGCCAACTTGCGTCACCTTTGGTGAAGGCGAGATATCCGTCTATCAATAAAAGGATGAGTATACTGCGCGGCAGTCCGTTCTGTTTTACTTTACGGCAGCGAAACATGGCCACTAAGAGTAGAAGACACTCGTAAGCTATTAGTATTTGACCACAGATGCCTTAGAAATATTGCTGGCATCTGCTGGGATCACCGGGTAGGTAATAGTGAGGTTAGACGCAGGGTATTAGGGAATGATGGTAAATCAGTTGATGAGGTTATGAATCTTCATCGACTGAGATGGTTGGGCCACGTATTACGTATGCCTGAACACCGATTACCACGACGTGCAATGCTAACCGGTGTTCGGGATGGTTGGAAGAAAGTTAGGGGCGGCCAAACCAAAACGTGGCATCAGTGCTTGAAGTCACTAACTTCGGGTCTGAGTCATGTTGGGGGATTCAGACTACTTGGTTGGGGTCCGCGTGACTTTCGTAACCAATGGTTGGAGAATCTTGGTGACATGGCTCAGAATCGATCACAATGGCGTCGGTGTATACACTCCCTGTCTTCCCTTAAACTAAGAGATTAAAATCACTTCATATCTTTCTTTCTACGAACCAAGTTTTTCTTCTTGTACTATATCTCTATATGCAATCTTTCTCTTATATATTACCACATTTGACCTAACCACTGCTATGAATCCGATGTTCATTTTGTTGTGCTGATGCGGTATGGCAACCTGGACCGATGCACATATGTGCCTGGTCCTACATTGTAGCTGACTGACTGACAAGCAATAGATATCAGATAACTTTTCATCGACAATGTGAGTTCATTTTATTTATAGAGGGTATCCACTTTTTGCTACATATTATCAGTGTCGCCCGAAATAACAAAGAAAATCTGACTTCTATCAAAAAATATTTAGAAAATTAGGATTATCGAAATACGAACTTAAATAAAATTTGCTTAGTAATAACGTGCCATTGTGGTCTAAAATTTAAAAAATAATTACATAATAAAGTTTGTTGTTATGGTATCTAGAGATTGTGTTGCAGTTAAAGGAAACATTTCCAATTTCCTTCCAAAAGCATTGATATTGTAAATGTAATTTATTTTCTGTTCTGTTCACAGATATTTCATGGACACCAGCAGAATTAGAATTTGAGGCTGAAATGCGTGTTCTGGATAGTGCTGGTTTCAGAACTGGTCATGTTTATCGTCAGCCTAATTTACTGAGACGCACACATCCTGGTTCATCGTGGCCAGGAGACACATATGGTGACCAAATAACAGCGGCTGATTTACTGACAACGGACTTTTCCACTAATGAGTTCAGTGGAGTTGAAGATTTAGCTGCAGCTGAAGCAGCGGGCGCTGAACAAGTGTCTAGGTTAGTTTTTAGCAATAAACGATTTTCTTAATGGTTTCCAATGAATATCATTATCTTATTCGCTATAAGTAGGAGTTGGTTTTGTTAGTCTTTCTCGAATATTATTCCTGTATTCATGTTGATGTTACTGTTCCCATTTCCTTTTTCTCGGTAAATTTATTTAGCTTGTGGTAGTTTAAAATTCTTGTCACATATATATGTCCTAATGTATGAATGATTTTCAAAATTGGTCGTTCATGAATAGGGTAGATCGTTATTAGTTAAAAGTTACCAAGTCATCTGTTTAATATTGTCTTCTATTGATATCCTTAGTAATCACAGATTGATTGCTCAATCTAATTTACAAACTAGTTTTGACGTTTTATGTTAAGACTCGTTTCTGTTTCGTATTTTAGACTGAATGGTATATATATATGACTTAAGGTACCGAAAGAATTTACTAACCCTGAAGCAAAAAATGAATCCGAACTATTTGACACATTTTTCTGAATGTGCTGAACGATGGAAAAATGCCTAGATAACTTCTGTTAAAAAGGTTTGTTAGCTTCTCTAGTAGAGTTGTATTGTTCGTTGGTTGAAGATTGTTAGTACATAAACTATTGTTGCGAATTTTAAAATCGAGCACTGGAACTGTATGTAATAATTAGAACGTGGTTAATTCGTCTACACAATTCACTGTTGTTGTTTTCAGACATGGCTAGTAAAATGGAAATCGTAAAACATATGTTCAAATTCGTAGTTTTATTGTCAGATTTGTTTTGTTAGATTGCTTATAGATAGGTTTAGGTGGATAATTATTCACTCTTTATTATATGTGCACCTTACCTTTTTTAGAATTGTTGATCATGTCCGTGCCAGTCGCCAAAAAAATACACAACGAAATCAGTGGTTAGCAAAAGCTAATGAACAACCACAAAACGGTATGAGTAAGTAATGATATTCTATTTAAAATATAGACTCACAATTCTGATTCGTATTGCATGTGAGGAATTTGTAATTCTAAATATGATCTTTCTTATAATCCTTTTATTTGCATGTGAATCGTTACGTCGTTTATAAGTGGAAATTCTTTAATGTCCTTATTTTTGTAGCCGTTGTTATCTCTTCATTCCTTCTATCTTTGCATGCTATTTTCGAAATCATAACTTCTGTTGTCGTTCATGGATATATCACGCATTATGTTGTGGATTTGCTTAAATAATATACAGTAACCAGCTCTATGATCGATTCGCCCCGGAAATTGTCCGGAACTAAAGGTTCAGGTGACTATCGTTCTCATCCGTTTACTTTGGATTCTCCTGTCTGTTCACCTGTTAGACGATCTGAACCCGGAAGCGCATCATCTCGTGTAGGAAGGGATTCCCATTCTCCTGCTATACGAAGTCCACATGATGTTTCTGACTATTCAATCCATAACGGTTCAGTCTCGATCTCAGTAGACACCACGGCATCCAATAGTTTAAGTAAGCCTGATTTGTTATTTTTTAAACCAAATTTTAATTTTTTCCATTATCTTTCAATTACACATCACATAGCGTTTGATTTAGCATGTTTTTAGTTACGCTAAATACCTTAAAGTTTTATATGATTCCTACCTTGACTGTAACAATATTTGATTCATGTTTTGCAGTGCAATGATGATCTCCGATTATTCGTAATCAATTTTTATTTTTATTTCACTTGTTCTTATGAATTTACGACTAAAGACATGTTTTTTTAATCCTACACATCGGGTCATTGAAGTGCTTGTTTCTGATTAGCTTTATGTAAAACTTCGTTGCAGCCTATATTGGCGTTTAAATAAGCTTTTCCAATCACTCAGTAGAGCTAGAAAGTTATTTATTGTATATCTTTCGTACTGTGTCAGTTTAGCCGTAAAATTGTTTTTTATAGTGATAAGTGTAACTCAACCTCAAATGTGGTATGTGCATAATAATTACCAACACTTACTTTCAGTCTCAATGTCTGACTGACATCATTCATACTTCCGATGTTTGTCCTAGTCACTTATACTTATTATGTTTAACTTTAAGTGATTGTTTATGTATGCGCGACCCATCATTTTGATCTGCCATAGGCCCATACGTTTACTCAGATTTAATATGGTGTGAATTCTGATTTGTTCAGAAGCTGTATTCTTAAATTTGATATTCAAACGGTCTGGTAGACTAGTAAATTGGTTATATTTGTGTTTTGTTGATTTGATGTTACAATACTCGGTTACTGAATGGATTTTATTAACTCAACCAGCGAACCATCATATTGCTCATCGCCGTTTTGTGATTATTGAAAGTTTGTAGAATTCCACCCCATCTAATTTAAAAATTGCTTCATTTTTAACTATTTAAATGAAAACATCGTTTGTTCAATAGAAACTTTTGGAGGTTGTTCATCCTAAATTTTACTTTTGTTCATTTGTTATCTATTTTATTTCATCATTTCATCTGGTACTTTTTCCAGCACCGAACAAACGAATTAATGATTCCTGTGTAAATAAGAGTGCAACACTACCTGCCAATGTACAGCATTTGTGTAAGTTGAGTAATTATGCATCACTTTACATATGGCTTGAATATTCATATTATTTTGATTCGGTTTACTATTTTATCTTATCAAACGTGGACGTTTTAATCTGGTTACGTTTTCGTCATATAACATTTGTACACCCTTTCATACAGATTATAGACTCACGCATAACTTTGATATATGATACATCGTCACCTTGGACTCTAAATGGATTTTTGTAGCTGGGTCCCAATTATTTCTCTGTGGCTAGTCTTGCAGTATTATATCACACATCGAGTTTTTAGTGTGTATATGTATCAGGCCGTTTATTCAAATTTTCGAATAGAGAAACAACACTTTCGAAATACATCTATCAAATTTGTTATTTTCAATATTCCAGATTAAATTTTGGATTATTGTTAAACTTAAAGAGATTAGTTTCCAGTTATTCTACGGTGATTTTCTAACCTTTTTTGCTGTTAAACTGTTTTCGTTTACAAATTAACTCTCAATAAACGAAATACGAGATTCGATATTTTACCGTTACACCAGAATAGTGTTTGATGGGTGGCCTGTAATATGTAGTTGCGTCGTCTTATAACCTTATTAGCTTGAATGTCTCATATGTATTCTGATATTCTTCTGATCATTGTACCGTGTATTAATGATTTATATGGCATCGAATAATTATCATATTATCAGTACTTACTCGTTATGGTACCTCCGGCGTAAAAAGTAGCAGTTTCTTACCTACAAAGTGTTTTGAGCAGTCTTTTTCATCGTAAGATGTTATCTTGATAGAACCCTTTCAGATGGATTCCGGAAATTTAGGGGAGCAATCATATAATGTTTTCTCAAGCTTGGTAACCCTCCTGAGCGATAAGTCGTTGACCAGGGATATTCAAGTAACTCTGCTCCTTATTTGCTACCAAGTGCTATGTTTGCTCTTGATGTCTACGTACAATTTCCAGTATCACATGCTCTTCGGTCTCCCTCTTTTTCTTTTGTTAAAGGTGTCGTGTTAGTACTCCTTTAGTGATTTCTGTATATCGTGACCTATCCACATCCTAGTCTCCTCCCAACTAGTTCGTTGTCTACCAGGCGATTATTGCTGATAGCCTGTGGCCAACGGATCTGGAGTATCTTGTGAAGACAGCTGTTTATAAATACCTGTACTTTTTGATCATGACTGTGATAATTCTCCAAGTTTCGACTCCGTACAATAAAACTTTTAACATTTTTATTGCAAATTCCGACTTTGCTATTGGCTCTCAGTTATTTCGAGTTCCAGGTGTTCTGTTGCTGCCCATGCTTTGCCAATCTATAGCTTCAGGTCTGCGTCACATTCTCGTTTATTACTGATGCTACCCAGCTACATAAATGCTTCCAACGCTCCCAGAGCTCTGTAGTTAAGCGTGATGTAATTGTTTCTCTCTGTGTTGTGCTTTAGTATCTTGTCCATTGTGAACATTGTGGCCTACTGCTTCAGAGGCTGCCTCTGAACTGTCTGTCTTCGCCTGCACTTGTTACTATGTATGACATAGAAGGGCTGGGTTATCTGAAAAGTCCAAATCATCCAGTTGCGTTCGAGGCGACCACTGTAATCCGTGCTTCTGAGATGTGGAGACTTTCATTATCCAGTCAAAAACCAGAAGTAAATGGAAAGACAAGTAGACAAACTTGTCTGATACCAGTTCTCATTTGAAACGCATCTGTGAGCTGCCTTTCATCCACGACTTCACAATTCAGTCCCTCACAAAAGTTCCGTATGATACTGGTGATCTACCCAGGTACTCCACAGTGCCGATAAATATTCCATACGGTTTTCCGATTCACTATGTCGAATAATTTCTCATAATCGAGGAAGTTGATAACTAGCTATGAGTTGAGTTCAACTGGTTGTTTAATAGTGATGCGAATTATATCAGTTTGGTTGGTAAGTGATATATCCTAACGAAAGCTAGCTTATTAATCTCGAATTCGGACATCTAAATCTTTCATTTGTTCAGCAACAATCTGTTGGACTCTTAACTGGTACTGACAGTAGTGTGATTAGTTTTCGATTCTCACAATTATCACGATCTCATTTCTTCAGTATCTTGATGAGGTATCTGTCTGTCCAGTCTCTTACTGCTTGTTTTCCATTCTAAATCTTTGCGAAGAGGACGTGAATCATCTTCGCAGTTACTCCCATATATGATAATGCAATTGGTGTCACCATCTTGAAACACCGACTTCGGTGACTTGGACATGTTCTACGAATGCCGTCCCAGAGAATTCCACGTCGTGCATTATTTGCCGACTCTAGGACTGGTTGGAGAAAGCGGAGAGGTGGTCAGTGCATGACATGGTGTCGTGGTATGAAAGAAAGCTGCAAAGGACTGGCTTCTGTTGGTCCTTCACGACTCCCTGGTTGGGGTCCGAGAGATGGTACTACACAGTGGCTAGAGACGTTATCAGATATGGCTCAGAATAGAAGCGAGTGGCGATCCTGCTGTAACCTTTTACTTCATAAAAGTGGTTGTTTCTTCCTTAACTGAAAGGTTTTCTCTGATTGTAAATTTCCGTTCCCCCATTATGACTATGATTATTACTACACTCCCTTACACCAATCTCTTCATTATTGTTTAAAAAAAATTTTTTTACGTTCCTCATTTTTTTTCTTAAATTCTCATTGTTTTGTGTGGCGCATATATATTTGGTGCACTCCTGTACTAATATATATGTGCTCAACTAAATAAATAAAATCAATGCTTCAGCTGACATACTGTTTGGTTCTGCTGCTTTGACATTTTTGGTTTCTTGAATGATTGGTTGCCATTTTGCCCTTGACTGGTATATCTGGTTTGCCGTGTTTTGTTCCTGAGAGCTTCTTTATTGCATAATATAGTTCTCTCATATTTTCTTCTCTTACAGCTCGTTCTACTGTAGTTGCCAGGCCTTCTAGATATTTCCACTTATCACCTCCAATTCTGTCGTTTACTCGCTTGTTTACTTCTGTGAATTCCGCATTTGACTTGGGTTCCTCTGTTCTTGTTCGGCTGTTGTCGACTGCCGTCCTCTTGTTTTTCCTTTCTTGAATGATGCCTAGGTTATTAATAGAGTTTAACTTTATATTCTGGTGCTTCATTGGAACCAGGCCCTCCTGACATGTTGGTGTTATCATTCCTTTAATCCTTTTCTAGTTATCCGCTATGGTGGTTTCCGTTTTTTCGAGCATATCTAGTAAGGCTTGTAACTTGTTGCTGAGAGCTATCTTGAATTCAGTGAGTTTGTCAGTGTCTCGAAGGCTGACCATACTAAACGCTTATATTGCTGCTTGTCTGACTACCCGATGTTTCCCAGTTTCAGTTTCAGCCAGGGCACCACCAGGTGTTGATCTGAATCTATATCAGCTTCTTTGTTTGTTCCTATGACTTCCATGAACCTCATGAACTTTTTATTGATGTAAATGTGATTTGTCTTGTTTTCTGTAGTGTGTTCTCATGTAATTTTGTGTTTGTATTTGTGAGGGCAAGTACAACTACAACAACAGATCTATAAGCCTCTGGTCATCCTTGATTCTTTTTTTAAATTCATTTAGTCTCATGACTTCTTAATACCCTATGTTGTCCATGTTTGTCTTGGAGTTCATGTCATTCGTCAAGGTGGTCATGGCTTTTCCTGTTTAGTTCTCTACGGTGGACTGCAGCTTCTCGTAAATCTTGTTTTTATCGTCTTTACTGTCATCATTGATGCGTGCCAAGCACTGAGTGAATTCATTGTAACCCTTTTCTTTGAAATATGGTTTGATGATCCTTGCGCTGTGGTTCTGCTGTTCTATTGGCGCTTATTTTACTTCTTGTTTTTCCAGGTCAATGATTTTATATTGGAACTCCTTTTTCGCGTTGTTAGTCTTGGTCATATTTTGTCTAATCCTTTTTGTTTACCCACTCTTGGGACCGATAGTAGTTTGGGTGTTCCATGCAGTGTTAATTAGTTAAAATATCAATTAAACTTTAGGTACTATAGTTTTACGTATGAATGGAATATTTATTTAATCCAATAACAATGTTGACGCACTTTTCATTATTTCCTTTTTCAGCTGTAATGTCGAACTCAAATACCCTCCAATCGGTTGATGGTGATCTTTTGAATAATAATGTTGAGGTTATTTCCACCTTTTTTCTCCATATTTTGCATGTATTTATATTCACGAATTGTTGTTGTGTTGCCATTATTATTAGCAGTTATGTAATTTTATTGGTAGTTATAGCATGTGAAGCTAGTGTTACTGTTCACGTCCTCGTGGTATTGGTTTAGTTTAGTATATTCTAGTTGAATGCAGTAGTACGATAATAGATCGGATAATTATTGCGTCGGTTTTTTTTCTGAACAAAAATTATTCCAGTTTTGAGAAATTTTAGGAATTATGTTTTATTTAGGCATAAACTTTTACATAGAAGTGAACAAATAATTGTATTTCGATATATGGTATTTTTTGTTTTACTCTCTTTAATCAGTAATAATGAATTTTGTTCCGTATAATTCGATTAATATTTAGGGAAGTAAAACGCTTGAGAAAAAGATCAAAAAGAAAGGAAGCTTCCGAATGCCATCATTTTCCAGAAAGAAGAAACACTAGCAATAAAATTACATTGATGTCTACTACACACCTGCTTGTATTTGTTTCCATTTTCATGCATTCACTTTAATGTCTCTGTGGTCATATATATTACTATAATACAGCTTTATCTAAATTTAAAATAACGGCTAACTGAAATAATTTGATAATTGTTATTGCATAAAGATATACAGTCATCAGATGTTAGTGGTGTTTTCCCCTGTTTTATATTATGCTCTTATATTAATTTTCCTTACTGATTGTTGGAGTTTTCTTTTTCCTTACTTATCATTTATCTTTTTTTTGCCAATTGTTAACCACTCGATAACTTCACTTGATTAAATCATATCTGTTATTTTTTGTTCAGTTTTTCTGTATGTGTGTGATCCTGCCTTCATTCGAATTGCTATATAGCTTTTTAATGATAATAGTCATTGTTTTACAATGTCTGATCATTAGTATTAATGGTTCACAAACATGTTTTGATTACTGAACTATTTGTTCGGTACTTCAAAAAATTCACATAATCCCACTGTCTCAAGGAGATATCAGTTCTTGAATACTTTCTAACATGATAAAAGAAGAAACACTTCTCTTCACTAATTTCCATCTCGGAAAATAGAATTTTTAGCATTCTAACACAAGTGTATGTGGAATAACACTGTATGAAATTTTAATTTCCTCTTTTTCATACTGTGAATATTCAATTATATAAACACCAATCAGTCTTTTACTCCAGAGAATTTCTCATTTATAAAGTCCTCAACTCTTTTTCTCCTTTATCAGATATGAATCATTATTGTGGTTTAACAGTGTATGAGTTATATAAATTTGTTTACTTTTTATCAGGAATATGATATGCTATTCCTCTTTTTTGTACTTTAAAGTCTTGAAAATTCGATCGTTTTCCGTTCTTCCTTCCAACTCAGCCCATATTTTTTTGTTGATTTCATCTAATTCATTAATGTCTCATTTCTTTCGTATCTCCGTCTAAAGTTTGTTCAATTGTTCAGCTTAGTGTTCTTGGTTATGTGCTTACGAGTCTATGGCTCTCCTTGTAACATCGTGTCGACAAACAGTATACTCGGAACTTGTTTTTTTGACGTTTATTATTATATTCTGAATAATATTATTTTAGTCTAATTACAATAGAATTTTTTGTTTGGTTATTGAATATGCCTGAAGACTAAATTTTTTACGATGGAAATTTTATTTGTTGTGAACGTTATTCTTTTTAGATATTCAGTTAGGTGTATATCAATTTTTCTATTCGCAAATCCGAAAACAACCACTGTTGTATGCTAACTCATGGGATTATTGTCTAAATCAGAATCATGATACATTTTTATTGTGTATAATTCTGTTTACAGATGGTTAAATTTGGAAAATTGGATTCCTTAAACGGTAAATCGTTGAAAAATCTTACGAACGCAATGCATTATCATAGTGTTATTTAACCGCTAGCCGAAATTTATTTACATATTACTCTTTAATTTATTACATTTAACCTGAATCTCTATAAAGATTTATTGTGAACATTTAGTTAAAGTAAATATCATAACAGTGTTTAGTTAGCATTCATAGGATTTGAAATATTTTAATCGTATTTATATCTAGGAAAAACAATTTGCTGTTTAAGTGATTTCGTAATGAACTATTTTGAATCCGTGACACTACGCCCTGAAACTGAATATCTTGATTAACTAATTTATGCTTAATGAGAAATATTTCCTGCCTAATACAAAAGTACAGGTCTAGTAAGAACACCTGTGCATAATACGTTATCTTACAAACCGTTACATAATTATGAGATACCGTCCTTTACTTTATAGATTTACTTTAACTACTTGAGATTGCTCCTTTCATGACGCATATGTTTCATTGAATTGTACATGAATTCTAAAATACATTGTATGGAGTAGTGAGATTTTTTACAACTGAGTAACTTCAACAGAATTCAAGCCATTTTTATACTTCAACTAATTTAATGATCAGATTATGCGGTTCGATTGTTGTCTTAAGTATAAAGATTGCTAATTGATGACCATTTTGTCTTTTCGCCCAATTTATATTTGGACTTAATATTCCATGTTTTGATAGGTATCTTCTATGCAGAGTTTTTGCAAGAAAAATGTTGCTGAAATATTCATCTTTTGTACAAATTTTCTTAAAATTGTGAACGTAGGTTTAAACCCATTATTTTACTTTAAACTAGGATTGTTTTAATCGTTATTTCAAAATAACTTGTTTTTTGTTTGGATATATTGCATTCGGTTATCCTAAGTAATGTCAATTGCAGGTTATTTCTGAAAACTATTGTTCTTTAGTAAATTTGACCTCGGTTTTGTTTGGATCTAAGTCCGTAACAAACATTTTCACATATTTGTTGATATACCAGTTGGTTTAGTTCATTGATTTAAACCTGTTAATTATCGTATATCAAATGCAAAATCAGTGAACTAATGTATCGGTATAGACATAATTCCAATGTTTTTTCAACTTGTCAGTTACTATGATTGGTTTCTGTCAGGAACTGTACAATTGTAATAAAACATTCAGAAATATTTTCCCTATAGGTTATTTGTCAAGCAACAAATGTAGCCAGATACTGCTACTTCATCACTGATTTACTTGACGTTACTGAGATTTTTCACTGTCTTGCTGATCTGTGAACGTTGACCTACCATAATTAAACTTGAAAATAAAATGCCTACAGTCACATAAGTTCGTACCTTTCGTAAAAATAAGCATAGAAACTAGTAGTAATGAGGTGACCAGCGGTTGCGTTTGTCGTAGCTAGTGAGTATTAGATATATTGAAATATGACATTTACATCGGAAATTTAGGCATTCACTTAACATTTAAGTCTCAAATTTGAACCGTCCTACATGTTATTTAGTGACGGGAGACGTATTATCACTAACCTTCAAGTAATTAAATTTAGACCCCAAGTTGAGTGCATAAAACTTGTACGTGGTAGGAGGCAATTTGGGAAAAAGCAGTCTGCTGTATATCGTATATGAAAAGATTCCAAGTATTTTATTAATATAACATGCTTCCCTTGTGTACACTTTCTAAAGTTGTCATTAGGACATAACGGTATACTGACTAATCACTGTGAAACTATTTACCCATATCAACAACTAAAAGTATTGCCCTTAAATTGTACTTCTTACTCGATTAGTTCCAGTTTTGATGAGAAACAAAAAAACATATCTTTATAAAAAAAGCAAACATTTATTCGTCATTTTGTTTGAAAATTCATATGCAACAATGTGACTATTCTACGTAGTTTTAGAGCTGATCTTTCTAATTACAATACTATTTCACTGTTGAATTTTCAAATACTGCTATGGAGTTGTAGTCAACGTTGTGTTACTGAGTATAGATCCTGATTCTATAACACAAAAACAGCAATGTTATATTCAATCTTTTATTCGAATAATAAATATTCATAGTTTATATTTACTCTTAAACATCAAAGTATACAACCAATCGAGATAATTATGATAAACAACCGTTTATATTTTGAGTTATTGCTAGCCAATATTTATATTGCTTTGACACTTCGGTCACCTGATTAATCAACTGACGTAACACAGTATTTAGTGGGTATTTCGTTACGAAGTTTGTCATGTGACATTACCATGCCTCGTTTGTGTGGGCATACTTTTATCAAGCCACTGTTCTCAATTTTCTGAAATTCCTACCTAAGAGACGACGGTTGAGATAACTTAAATTTCTGAATTGCTAATGACCTGCATTACTCACCAGTACTTTTAATAATGGGAAACCGAGTCTAAAATTTGGTCTGGGTTATTTTGAATCGTACTGGAGCAAATTATTATTTCTGAACTGTCTTAACAAATGACTTCAAACAGTACCACTTATAGTAAATACTTGTAAGGACGCGATTGCATGTCAGCAATGAGATCTAAATCCGTTTGTTATTTGTTACAAAATGAAATCTAAAGTTCATGTAAGAAGTCGGGACTTTTGTAATCAGTTGCATTAAGAGTAAATTAATATACTATCAATCGCACTGAACGAAGACTGTCCTTTTTTAAATATTGACCGAAGTTGGGAATTGTGTACCAGTGCTCTTCAACACAATAGTTTCGTGCTGATTTCAATGCCTGACTGTCTTCATTTTGATCTCGTGCAGCGTTTTGGGCACCTACTGTTGAGGAGACTCCAAATGGACGTTCAAGTGGTTGTGGTTTCCATCGGTGCTACAGATAATTCAGTTATTGATGATAAATAGCACTTGTAGTGTTTAGAATCAAAGCATAAATACCGCTTTCTTTTGACAAACATGTTCAAGTATGCGAGACCGCAGTTATCCAGCGAATTAAATGAGCGCTTGATATTAATATAGGATTTGAGGTTAGTTACGCGAATGATTTGATCATATTGAAATCATACTGGAAACAAATAAATTTCCTTTTTAACAATGTAGTTCTGTTTAGTGTAGAAACCTAAATTGAAATGTTCACATTTTGTACCTGTTTTGTTATATTGAAAATATCGACTAAATGCTTACTCTCAATCTCTTGTCCATTATCTTATTACTAGTTTATATATAGTCACATGCTGATCAAAACACACTATAACCTGCTTTAACTTTAAATATAACTACGTTCTAACAGGGATTATTTTCAATCGATTAATTCATTACCAGAATACTCGCATCTATTTACTTCCAATCATGTTCAAGGTAAAACACGGCTATCTTTTTTCATTGTGTCAACATAAGTGATAAGTTGAAACCATGAAAAAATAGTCAGATACCAATGTTTATTTCAGTGTATGAACTAAACTAATGGATACTTTTTTTTTTAAAAACATGTTAAAACATATTGTTAACAACACCTACAATAATAATAATATAAACTTACTGTTAAGTTTGTATAAATGCAGATTAAATGTTCTCCTTCCTATTTTGTTTTGTTTTCTGGCTAATATTTATTAAATCTAAGGTCATATATATACGTAATGCGTATGTGTATGTTTATAATATGCCAAATTAAAACGAATAATAAATATTCAATATATTAATTTTGTACCAGTTAGCTTGTAGACTAATATTAAGTTTGCAATCTGGAGTGTATAATGTTCTAATCGATTCTTCTTGTTTAATATAATTTAAGTTATGAATGGTATGGCATTCTTTGATAGTTTAATATGTAATCAAAATGTATGTGTATAAAGTATGTATTGTTCAACTAATACTAAAATAATGATAATAACATAGTATTCTTTATTAGGTAACATAATTGTATAATCTTAAGGAATAAGTTACATATTTATCAGTCTACTTGCAAGTAAACTTTTGAAATGAAGTCAGATAACTTGTGTGTTAGGCTAAACTGCTTATCACTACACTATTCAATTGTAATTTAAGTTTTTATTGACTCGGCAAAATGTAGGATGTGTCAAGTTATTTTTATTCATCAGTCGACCGAGTCATTTTTTTATAGTTTTATATAGTTTTTCCTCGCAAGTTTATGTAAGCTGTATAGGTGGAGGAATTTAATGATCACTGGGTTGGTGTTTTTTATTAGTTTTTTTAAAATCCTCAATGATGCACATCTACAAACTTGAAACATTGAACACAGGGTCCCAAGTTCTGACAATAATCATGATATCACTAAGATTTGACGTTTCTTTTGATTACATATTATATTTGATATATGAATTCTCCGATTATCTCCACTTATTTCTCTAAAAGACGAACAAATAGGACAAACCAACTACCGTGGTGATTCTTGAATTTTACCGTAATTAGATTCCCGATAGGTTGTGTACATTCTATGGATAGATGCATGTACAGGTGGTTATCATGTGTAATTGGTTAACTAAACTAAATAGAATAAGGAAATTTATGGCGATAAGTACACTTTCAATAAATAGTTGGCCCGGAATTTTGATGAGGTACTTAGTAAAATCTGTTCAGTGTAATTAAAAGGACATCTATAATATGCAATACAAAAAATAGCCGATTAAGTTGATGCTCGTTGCAGTATTGACCGTAATAAAAAAATCTGCCAAAGATGCTAGATGAATGAGTAAATGAAAACTTATCAGGTGATAAAAATCTTGAATCAAAGCATTTATTTGTCGTAGTAAATACTCTTTTTGTTTTTAAGATTTATCATAAAAGTGATAGGTTGATTAACTGATGATATTATTTGCCGCAATGAATTGAAATAATAATACAATAAAAAAAACAAGTGATAAAAGTGCCTAATTATCACACTCGAGGGATGAAACTAATATCACCTAGACTAATGATCTAATCATCCTAATGAGCAAAACTTGAGTTTGGGATGTTTAGCCCCTTCAAAGAACAGATAACTTTCTTTGTAAGTGTTTCATTTTGAAAAGTTAATTATTTATCCTGTGAAGTAGTGACACACTACGTTGTGAAACTTCATAAATTCAATCTTATATTTATTAGAATATTACAAACATATTATTAATCTATTATTATACACAATCTGTCCAAAGCTCGATTCTTTTGAAATCATTAAGTCAAATCTCCATAGTATTACCCATAAGAGTTATGGACTTTTCTGATTGTCACTAACAGATTGACTGATATTACTTTATACTTAAAAATATTATTTATTTATTTGAACACAAATATTGGTACAAGAGAGCGCTAATATATATGCACCACACAAAACAATGAGAATTCGGAGAGAAAAAAAAGGTAAGGAGCGTAAAAAAAGAGAACAATAACGAAGAGATTGGTGTAAGGTAGTGTGATAGTAATGAGGGAACGGAAAGGTACAATCGGAAGAAATCTTTAGGTAAGGGAGACACAACCACTTTTTATGAAGAAAGTAAAAGAAGGTTACAGCACGATCGCCACTCGCTTCTATTCTGAGCCATATCTGATAACGTCTCTAGCCACTGTGTAGTACCATCTCTCGGACCCCAACCAGGGAGTCGTGAAGGACCAACAGAAGCCAGTCCTTTGCAGCTTTCTTTCATACCACGACACCATGTCATGCACTGACCACCTCTCCGCTTTCTCCAACCAGTCCTAGAGTCGGCAAATAATGCACGACGTGGAATTCTCTGGGACGGCATTCGTAGAACATGTCCAAGCCACCGAAGTCGATGTTTCAAGATGGTGACACCAATTGCATTATTATTTCTGAGCCCGAACGCAC